TAGTTTACGACAGGAAGTGGGGAACACTGTATCAAGTTGAAACTGCAGAGGAAATTTTGGGTAGGCAGAATGCAATAATCTGGACAGAGAGAGACAAGGTAGGTGAGGTAATATCTTTTATTGGACGAACTTCTGCTGGTGAAAGAGACAAGCTTTCGAGCTTCACAGAACTCTTCTTCAGGTCACAATGCTAGAACGCCACTGAAAACAATAGCATGAATTAGAATTTGGGACCAGATTTTCAAAGGTAATTAGGTGCCTAAACATGCATATAGATGCCCAGTTGGATTTTCAAAAGTAGATTATGTGCCTAACTCCCAACAAAATCAATGGGAGTTAGCACTTAAATGAGATAGGTGCCTTCTGAAAAATCCCATGGGTACTTAACTGCATCTTTAAACCCACATCTGGCCCTTGGTCACTAGCATCTCTTCTCTCATATATCTGGCTGTCTACCTGCCTCCATTATAAACAGTACCATAGAATCCTTAGTGACAACAGGTGGCTCAAATGTCAATTTTACCTCTGATCTGACATTTCAAGCAATGAAGTGTCAACATACATTATGCTGTTCAATACTGATTTGAAGGAGCAGAACCCTAATGAATCACCAGCATGATTCCTGAGAATACCAACGGTTTCCTCTGGAGATCTTCCATCCAAATACAGACAGGCCTCACCATACTAAGTCATAAGAGATGAAAAGATAATACCAAAAAATGGTATAGAAAATAATGCATTTCGAAGCCAGTTGAGAAAATCTCATAAGTAATGGGCATTATTTCAGCTGCTAAAGCAAGATGGAATAATATTAATTTATAATAATCCACTGTTGCTCAGTAAAGTAAATCTGACTACTCATATGGTCCCCATCACTATCGTACCTGCATGTCTTACCAGAAATAATAAGGCAAAGGTTTTCCCTGACTGCAAATCAAACTCTGTCTCTGGTGGTAAGAATGCAAAATCCTGCACATGTGCCCATGAGGGGGAAGCTACGTTCCTCTGTTTTAGGGCACTGTTGAGGAATAACCAACCCTAGTTCTGACATTATTGTTAGATAGATCTGTCACTGCTGTTTTAGTGAACATATTATGGTAGAGATAAGATTTGATCCAAAATCTTGTTGTCTCAATGAAATGGTCAAGACCATTCTGAGCCAGATTCTTTTAGATAGCGGTCTTCATTCTTGAAGTGCTGGAGAGCATCACCACCATGGAATGGACTCACAGACATCCACAAAATAATTGCAACATGACAGCCTGAGATTGGGAAGACTGAGTCATGACATGATAACATCATTAGTCAATTTAAAATGGACTGATGTAACATCACAACAAACAATGTCAAGTTGCCATGCTGCAGCTATTTTGTCTCTTTCTGGGACTTCAACTGGCACAGTACATTTTCTTTCTCCTCCATCTGCTAGCCCACTGCAGTTATTGGGAGAGTATTTCCTTCTCCTTTTCTCCCCTTCCTGGGTGCTGAAAGAGATAGTGATGGATTCTGGCAGTTCTGATCCATTACTCAATTTTGCTCCTACTGTCTCGCACATGTTAAGCAATGCAGAGAGCATCCCTGTGACCAGCACTCTGCTCACTTTCATCAGACCTGTGGGCTACACCAGAAATACATGCTGGACCCTGAAGAACTTCCTATGCCTCCAGAGAGAAGGGTTGGGGATCACTACTTTGCGGAGATGTGTTTTTGCCCTATCCTCAAAGGCTATTGGATGGAAACAGTTTGCTGTGCCATCACCCTTACAGTAATGATCAGCCACAGATTATGGGCAAGCAGTGTCAATAATAATGATGCTAATGATCATATGCAGCTGTGTGTTACAGCTTTTCCTGGAATAGTATTAAGAGGGCAACCATAAAATTAGTGAGATGGCTTAATTGTGGCCTTGGTATAACTCGCACTGAAGTATGTGAAAATTGTTGCACTCTCTCTCTCTCTCACCAGTTCATGATCTTTGCTGCTATTTAAATTCCACCACACTTGCATAAACGGACATTTACCATTAATTATTTTAATAAATCAGGGCATTAGAACAAAATAAAGTCAATTCTGGCAGGGTCTAAACAGTTTCTTTGGCATTTGGCATAGAGATTCAAACAAATTATTCTGTGCCTTTAGTGATATGCCCCTAAGAAAATAACTGTTCTTCAAGCATTTGACCCTGTTTAAGAGAACTGTATGAGCAGATTTCCAAGGGCACATATGAAATGTGCTTAAATCATTTGGCAAAGAAAATATTGCACTTCATAATTAAACAAAAGATTGATAATTCTTTTGACATCCAAAAATCAGTATACAAGTGGTATTCACTGTAAAGCCAAGTGATGGAAGAAATGGGGGGGGGGGGAGCACGTGCAGTCCCTTAAAAAACAAAACAAAACCAAACCACACTCTCAGAATTCCAATGCACTTTGTATCCTCGTCAAACTCCCAAAGCTCTAATTTATAGCTGGCATCTTTTGGTATGATCTGTACTGAATAATCACAAATAATACTTTACTTTGTCTTTTATAAAGCGCCTTTCGTGCCCAAGGATCTCAAAAGCACTCTGCAAACTGCGCGCGCGCACGCACGCAAAGCAAAAACTGAAACGCAACCACCTTTTGGGGAGTGGGGGGCGGTAAAGAGCAGCAGGAGCACAGCATCACCATGACAGAGGAGGGAAGTTTTATCATGCGGTACTATTTACAAAAGACAGATTGTCCTGTTATTCGCAACGGTCCTCACGGGAACCTACTTGAATAAATAAAACCAACAAAGAGCGATTTACTGGGGTGCATCATATAAGCCTTAGTTTCAAAAGCGCCAAGGAACACCACGCTACTCTGTGATGTACAGCTTATAATTAAGGCATGAGCCTGGAAAAACCTCTCAGGGCCAGGTCCTATAAATCCTTACTCGCTTTAGTAGCGTACTTGTGAGCAGTCACGCGGATTTCCGTAGGGACAGCGTGCGTGAGCAAGGCGGATTCCTGTGAGCTGGGCTGTGCAGCACTGAGCCTAGGCGCTCTCCGGAGCGGTGACCGTGACTGCTCTTTCGGTTGGGCACCACAGAGCACGGAGACAGGAGGGGTAACGATACGCCGCCCTAACCCCGCTGCATGTCCCTGGCAGACGGCACGGCCGTGGAGCTTTTTGCTGGCTCTGCATCCTATTCCCCAATCTTCCCTCATGACATCACGATTGGTTACTAAGGAAGGAGAGCTTGACAGTGTCACGGAGGAGAATGACTGTGCGCGGAGAACAGGGAGCAGCCGATCGCTTAAGCAACGATCTTGTCTTCAAGCAAATGTCCTTTGTAATTAAGAACGAAAATACATTATAGCTATTTGCTACTACCTAAACAAACCTGTCTCCGAAGAGCAGGTCGTTCGGCAGCTTGCCGTTGCTGTTAGGAGCCACATCCATCCTACTGCTTATTTTAACTCCCTAGCCAGTGTCCCATCTCATACTCCTAACCCAGAAAGCCTCGCTGCAATGTTTTATATGGCATGACAATTTGTCTTTTTAAAAACAAGGCAGCAGCATTTGTTTAAAGTCCCGATGACGTCGATTCAGCGAGCATTGCAATTACTGAAGGAGACAGGTGAAACAAACAGATTCACATTTGCATTAAAAAACACCCACAACCCTAGTAAACACCATTTCCTTCCTCCCCGATGCTTTGCAAGAGCTGACATTTCTCAAACACAAGGATGTGACTCTGAGTGAGCTGGCTGGCTGGCGGTGGGTTAGATGAGGTGGCTACAAAGCACCAGACTCCCAATGTTTTCTATTGTGCAGGGCTTCGTGTTGGAAGGGGCGGATTACTCGCTGTAATTACAAGCGAGAAACTTTCCGCTGTGTTGCTGTGCGGGGAAATCTCCTGCTCGGGGAATCTCCCAATGAAGTCCGTAGTCCCTCAACCCGCTCCCGCACAAAAGAAAACCAAAGAACCCAGCAAAACCGCCACGCACAGCGCTCCCGCTACATTCAAAAGCTACTCAGCCAGCGGCCAGAGCCCCCGCTCCCACCCCCCTTCCGAGAGCACCTGTCTGCAGAAAGTATCTTAGAAAACTTCTCCCGAAATCCTTGGAGCGAGGCAAGCTCATCATTTTAACACGTGCAGCGACACGCCCGCCTAAGAATGTGCGATAAGCGAGGGCTCTCGCTCTACCCACAACATTTTGCCTCGAAACCACACTGACTTCCTTTTCGGTAGAAAATTTGATCACCCAAAGCACCCCGCGCTGGCCCCAAAGCCCCTGCTGTATATATTGACGTACGGCCGTCCCCACCAAAGATTTCACTGTCGTGCTTTTGCTGAGCTTGGGGCTGCAATTTGACAGCCAGCACAGTAGAGACTCTTATAAACTACTGCTGAACTCCAGCCTCCCATCTTCCTTCATTGATAAATGCAAGTGAAGCAATATAGCTGGAGACCCACACACAAAAGTCCCCCCTTCCCCCAGATTGGTTTAGTGATCCCACTATGTTTTCTTCAACCGCAATTCTTTTTCATCCATATAAGATCGTTTTTCTTTTGGAACAAGCCCTTCTCCAGTCGGCTGTGTCAGGGAAGCTTGCGTACATTCACAAATACCATCCCGTGGCTTTCATTTAGGCACAGCACACACAATCATATTTGAGTAACGCTAGTCCGAAGAACAGAGGCGCAGCTCCTACATGACAGTAAACCAATTCATTCTCTCTCTCACACACACCCTAGTCTCACATACACATTCAGAACATGCAGCCCGCTCTGGAAGAGAAAAAAAAGGTTTTTATCCTATATTAAGAGCCCGCCTGTATCCCCACAAGGGTTCCTGAAAACACTGAGCACAACCAACATGCGTTGACTCTCAATCGGTTTTGTAGACAGAGCTGAATTGCAGATTTAAAAGCTCTCTCTTTAAACAAACAAGCAAAAAGCCCCGAAATGTATAACGTCCTCTGCCCATTAAGCTCCTTGAGAAATGTGTGTGCAACCACTCCAATTACCTTAGCAACCAAAGAATTGCTGAATTCCCCCTTCTGCTTTTTAATTTCTCCTCAGAGACAGGAAAGAGCCTGGTTCATGGTAAAACTGGAGGAAAAAATGAATGGGAGAGATTTGCAGGTTCCTGAAGGCTCTTTCCCCCCCTCTTTCAAAATTCCTTGTTCTTCTCAGTGTCCCTGGCTGCAGAAGAGACTGAGGCTTTGGGGTGCAGTTAGAGAAGATGGAAACAGGAAGACTGCGGCTGAAGAGCCACTGGCAACATGCTCTCCCCACTCTCTCTCCAGCCACCGAATCTTTCTGGCTGATTTTTCTGTCCTTCTTCTCTCTCTCTCCCTCTCTCTGCACACTCACACTCCGGTGCCTCAGCGCACACTAGAGGGGGGGGAAACAGCTCCCCAGCTGTGGGAGCCCAGTGCTACAGGAAAGATACAGAGAGCGAGAGAGAGATGAGAAACGGGGGGAGGGAGGAGAAGCTGCTTCAAGTAAAAGATTTGTCCCTTGCAAACGATTTGCCGCAGCAGCGCCTACTGTAGGGAAGAGCGAGGACCTGCAGCCTCATTACGTGCACCTGATAGGCAGTAAGGGACAAAGAAAGCAGGGACTAGGTTAGAGATCAAGCAACCCCCCCCCCCCCCAAAACAAGAGTAGATTCCCCCTCAGTTCAATTGATGTCACATGGGCTCCACTACACCTGCCCTCGACTTTTAGAAATGGTCTTCCTGGGGAGAGGTTGGGCAGGAATTTGTTTTGAGATGGAGGGGAGCAAAAGAAATCCCCACAGCCCCCCTCCCAAACTATCTGTTCTCCTGGAACACTGTTCAATAATTTCCCAGCCTCGGGCTGTGATCCTCCCACACACCATTTTTGCTGTGTATTTATTAATTATGGTTATTAGCCAAGTAGAGGAGGATGAACTATTTACCTTTGTCCACAAGCTTTGAGATCTTTATGTGACTCCTTCCCTTCCATCCCTAGGTGATACACTCTCTCTCACACACACACACCACACACACACACACACACACAATCACTGGAGAGATGCTCAAGTTGCATGGCAGAGGGTGAAAGACTAGTGCAAAGAACATGCATCGAGCTAGCAGTAAATCCTGTAGGTTCCCTCAGATAACTTGGCACCATGTTTTCCATTTTTTATTAATTATTAATTATTATTATTATTATAGAGGGTCAAGTGCTTGAACCTACTGGGAGTCCAATGAAACCATTTGCAAAGGGACAGACTGAGTGATGTAGCTCTTGCAGGCAGAGCTGCCTTATAGGCGGGAAGCCTGGTCAGTCAGTCGTACCTGGAAATCTCAAATTCCTCATAAAATATAACATTAATGCACGACAGTACTGAGCAGAAATGGGAGCTGAGATGCCCCTGTTGGGAGGTTGGGGAAGGGTGGAAGAAAAAACTTTCTAAAAATTATTTTTCTTGTGAAGAGATGTGTTTGATTTTTGAACTTACTTCAAAGGTTGCTGTCCCACTCTTGTAATGAATATAAACGGGATTTTTCATTCAAGCTGCGGGACACAAACCCTAGAGTTTTCAGCTCCTAAACTAACTAAGCAGTAAATGAGATATTTAATGTCTCCATGCAGGGTCTTCCTGAGTCCTGACCTAAATAGTGCCGCATTGTACTCACAGAGAACTCTGTGGAGATCATTTGAGGCTCATAGCAGCCAAATATTGTGCAGCTCCAAGCTGCACAGTTGTAGAGAACATCCATTTGCTCAACACACTATGCATGCTCCAAGCAGTGGCAGGGGTGGGACATGAAGCTGTAGAAACCTTGGCAGATGTGAGTTGGTCCTGGGTTTTCTGGGGGGTTTTCTGTGTGGTAAGAGAACATGGAGCTAATATGCAACATCACCACCTCTGTTGCTACCTGCTCCAGGATGCACCTTCCCTTTTTTATACTGTCCTGGAGTGGGAACAGCAAGAGGGGATACAGAGAGGGTGCCTGGCTGCCTGTGGAGCAGGCAACACGACTCCCAATGGCTGCAACAAGCAACTGCAAGGCAAAATCTGAGCCAAGCACAATGGATGACAGGACAGCCACAGGCATTAATGTCACAAGAAATGCATGACACACAACCATAGAGGCCTCTGGGGGAGGAGGGAAATTCACAAACCAGTTATGGACACATTCCCACCTTCCCCCACACACAAACTTCCCTACTGCATGGGCCATTCCCTCTGCATCCTCCTCGACCCCTGCACGATGGCAGGGCACAATGGAATAAAATACGATCTTATTATCTTAAATGGAGTTACACAGATACATCTATTTAAACACAATGGATTACATAAAACAGTAAAACAAGTTTAATAACTACAAAGAGAGAGATTTCAAGTGGTTACAAGTACAGAGTAAAATAAAGATAAAACACTTACTAGTATCTACTTAAGAAACTATCTTAGCTGAAAAGCAAACTCTCTCACCACATGTTCCAGCAGTCTTACTGACCAAACTTTCAGGTCAGGACCCCTCCCCCAGAGTCCAACAGCTGTTTCCTTTAGTCTTCTCAGGTGCAGAAAATGAGTTTGGCAGGGAGAAAGAGAAGGGGCCTTTGGGGCTGTTTGTCCCTCCTTTTTATAGTTTCAGTCCCCTTCTTAAAAAAATAATTCCAGCTGACGCCCAGAAAACAAAGAGTCTGTGTGGAAGGATATTCCCTGGTGGTTTTTTCACCTTTTTGAATTTATTTTGTTTTCCCTTCCTGCTTGATGACTCTGTTTACTGCTTAAATGCAAATTAAGGCAAGCACACATTCCTTCCTTTGTTTAGGACAGATGTGACTTCTTCCTGAGCTATGCAGTTTGGAACATGTGTTAACAGCATCATACAGTGGAATCTTATGACTTCACATACAATGTTGTCACACATATTTTACCAGGAGAATACTGACCAGCAAATTATGAGTTTCAAATGATACCTTACAAGGCATATTTTGTACAGAGATTATTACAATAGGGTGAAGGGTGTGAATACAGGGGTGTATTCCATTACACCCACCTCACTAAAAGATCTTAAATTGCAAGACCACCTTGTACCAGTGTCCACACTCCACTCTTATACTACTACAATTCCTGTTGCGATGCTTTATTCTTGAAAACCTCCAAGAATGGGAATTCCACAGCCTCCTTAGATAATCTATTTCAGTGCTTACCTAGCACTATAGTTAGAATTTTTTTCCTAATATCTAACTTGAATTTCTCTTGCTGCAAACTAAGCAGATTACTTCTTGTCCTCCCCTTGGTGGAAGGGAGAACAATTGACTACTATCCTCTTTATAAAAACCTTTGACATATTAGAAGACTGTTATGTCCCCCCTCAGTCTTCTCTTCTCTTCCTTTGGCTTTGTTTGTCTTGTTGATTGAGATTGAAAGCTATTTTGAGCAGAGACTGCCTTTTACCCTGTTTATCCAGTGCCTAACACAATCAGTTCCTAGCTATTGTTAGTGCCTGAAGGTGCAACCATAATACAAATAATAAATAATCATTGCCAACATTCTGAAGGAAAATAATGTTTTTGTGTAAATCAAATGGTAAATAAAGATATTGATTTATCAACCACGCTACAATATTTCCTATGTATGCCACTGCTTCAGTTCCAGTTATATTGAAAACCTAATCCACCCCTTCATCTCTTCTTGTCTTAACTGTTTCAATTCCTCCTTCTATTTGGCCTCCCCAAGTCCCAGATTCTAGCATGTGCAGAATGTTGAACCCTACTTCGCAGGCAGTAGATACATCCTCCCTCATCTTCAGATACTTCACTGGATATGCATTCATTTTAGTATCTTGTTCCAACACTACCTCTTGGGGCTAAATTCTGCACATCACTGAAGTTGATGAGATTTCATGGGGTGTAAATCAGTGGAAACTTTAGCATTGGGTATTGAGAACCTTCTGTGGACTAATTCCAGTTGTAGTGGACCTTGTTTCCCTCTAGTCCTTTTCTCACTTCCTCCACTCCTTTACCAATGGCCTCCCTTGACATAATCCCTAGTTAGCACTAGAGTTTTCTGCTCTGTAGCTCCTGCATCTAGACCTTTTCACTATCTGCGTCCTCAGCTCTCAAAATCTCATTTGAAGCCCCTTTGCTCCTCTTTTGATATCTCCCCCTTTAAACATTACAACGATTATTTAACTCTGTAAACTATTTTGGGATTCAGTCTCTATGAACGCTATGCAAAATAAGGCTGAATTGTATTGTTTCGTTGTTCCCCTCACCTCATGTATTAACACAAAGAGCTTGAATTTGTGCTTCCAAAATTTCACAGGATTATTTACTTTTTGAAAACCCATGTGTTTAAAAATATTTCTATTTATATTAGTTTTGTATTTACACTAGTTGTCAGTGTACTTTAAATAAAGCTCAAACATGTTACACAGTATTTGCCTTATAAAGGCTTCTTAGGTATATTTTTAGCACTTATGAAATATATACTTTTGTCAGAATTTTATCAGAAAAATAATTAAAACTACTAGTTAAATTGAACTAGAAAATTATCCCAGGACTTTACTCTGCCTACCACCAGTGTCACATCAAGGACTGAATATTTCAGTATCTTACACCATTTCAGGGCCAAAAAACTTTATTTCTATTCTGTTTTGTTCTATCTTTCTTCTCCTATCCCTCCCAAAAGAATACAGAGAGAGCACTTAAAGCAGAGCTTGAGGGCCACATTCGGGACTGTCCTGCCCTGCCCCTGAGCTCCTGGCCCGGGAGGCTAGTCCCTGGCTCTCCCCTGCTGTTCCCCCTCCCCTGCAACCTCAGTGCACCGCGCAGCCAGTGCAACACTCTGGGTGGCCGGGCAGCGCAGCCTGACCCCGGTGCTCTGGGCGGCGCGGCTGTAGCTCGGCCACCGGTGCTCCAGGCAGTGCAGTAAGGGGGCAGGGAGAGTTGGATAGAGGGCAGGGGAGTTCGGGGTGGTGGTCGGGGGTGGGGTAGTCAAAGGGCAGGGAACAGGGGGGTTGGATGGGGCAGGAGTCCCGGGGGGGGGGGGGGCGTCAGGAGGCGAGAAGGGGAGGGGGGATCAGATAGGAGGCGGGTGCCGGGCCACGCCTGGCTGTCTGGGGGAGATAGCCTCCCCTAACCGGCCCTCCATACAATTTTGGAAACCCGATGTGGCCCTCAGGCCAAAAAGTTTGCCCACCCCTGACTTAAAGGGAAACTACCAGGTCAAATTCAGACCAAAATGTAGGGTCTGTAAAAATAACTTTTTTCAAAATCTAAGATCAGTGGAAAGGTTTTCTGCAAACAGATTTTAAATACATTTTCCTGCAGTGTTTCCAGCCCAAACATTGCAGCGTTATGCTAGCACCTGAAAACCAGAAAGTGAAGTTGACTAGAAATATTACCCAAGTAAAAGTGACCAGTCCACTTTCATTGTTCAAGCTCAACAAAGGAACAGTAAAC